AAAATTGTTGTGGAACGGAAACCTTTTTGGCTGTTTTCTGAAATTTGAGTGATTGAATTTTTCGTTCAATAAGCTTTCCTTCTGCACTTCACAGATACTTTTTCATGGTTAAAAAAATAATATATATTTAAATAAAGAAGCGTCAGACGTAATTCGAACCCGTCACCTTCTGGAAGCTAACAAATAGCGTAAGCTGTTCTGTACGCTCAACCACTGCCAACTACTTTTTCAAACGTTTTCCGGATACGAAAACTGCCCTTTTTTTGTCCACGTTCTTGGACACGTAAATGAACGAAAATTGTAGTCGTTTTATAATCGTTACCGCATACGAAAAATTTTACTAGACCGCACTGTCGGCAAAATTTACGTTTCTCTGCTGGCTGGGTAATTATAAGCCTACAAAAACATTCTGAGAATAAATAAACACGCATTCGTATAGGGCTATAGATACGTGTGTGAACTCGTATGTATAAGTATGTACGTATTGTACTTATGTACTTATGTATCCACATCGCTCTCACCGTTTCGCTCTACCGGACAGTGAGCGTTGGCTAAGTGCAAACAGCTGTGCGGCGATCAGTTGTTCATACAGGTAATAATCAACAATTCAACAGCGGCTTAAACTCGTACCTTGTTGAACGTTATCGTAAACTTACTATGGATTAGTTCTTTTACACACATAGGTTTGTGTCTCGAATACGTTGCACGTAAAATACGTACGTAATACAAAAAGTAACGTAAAACTCTAATATGCGATTTAAATACAAACGGTTTGGTCTTTAACGTAATCGCCAATCGATCCTTCTTCTAGTCAGTTGGCGCAATAAGAAACACCTAGTGAAGCTAAGTTTCTATAACGCAGTGAAGGCCGTTCTTTTCTTCTGTCACCACCAGCGGGTAACACTCCGAATACCATCGGCTGTTTTTTGCGATTGCAGCCTTTCATAATCTAGTTTTCTTCCAGATTTTTATTAATACAAAATCGGGTTTTTTTATTGATTTACGGGTATATACATCTTAGCTCTCGGTATGACCCAGTTCGGGAACATTTCAAGACTAGTTAGGGATCATTTCGGTGACTGTTCAGAACTATTGCGGGACTGACTCACGACTATTTTGGGACTACTTCTGGATCATTTCGAGCCTAGTTAAAGACTATTTCAGAAACTTTTTGTTCCTATGTCAGGAGTCCTCAGTCTCCTAAGGATTATTTTAAGACCATTTCGGGACTAGTTCGGTATCATTTTGGGACTAATTGGGGACTATTTCGGGACAGTTTCAAGGCTTGTTCGATATCATTTTAAGACAAGTTCGGAATTATTTCAGGACTGTTTCGGATTTTTTTTTTCAAGATTATTTGGGAGGTATTTCACGACTATTTCAGGTCCATATCGGGACTAATTCAGGGCCATTGGAGACTAGTTTGTGACTTTTTCGGGAGTGGTTCACGACTATTTCAAGATCATGGTGAAGCTAGTTCAGTACTAATTCATGAACATTTCGGGACTTGTTCGCAAAAATATTTTCACTAGTTCAGGAGCATTTAGGAACTAGCTTCCGAACATTTAGGACTAGTATGGGCCCATTTCGGAACCTTTTTAAAACTTGATAGATATAATTTCGGGACAAATTCACTACTTTTTCGACCGTTTCGGAACGTGTTCTGGACTATTTCGGAGATATTTCAGGATCATTTCGGGATTAGTTCACAACTATTTCAGGATTATTTCAGCACCTAGTTCAATTCGGCATCATTTTGGGACTACTAAGGACCTTTCAGGACCGTTTTCACACTTGTTCAAAATCATTTCGCAACAGGTTCACGACTTTTTCATAACCCTATCTGGACAATTTTGGGCCTAGTTCAAAACTAGGCACGAGCTGATTTTGAAACAGTTCTGGCCTATTCCCGAACTGGTTATCGGAAAAAGTCGTATACTGGACCGGACAAAGTGAATGAAATAGGAACCGTCACGGTTATGCCGTTTATAATAAAAATCACAATTTAGCGTTAAAATTGGATTTTTATTTGTACGATCAAATTTTTCCGTTATTTTACGGTTTTTCCTTTTTCGATCTAAAATAATCGTTACTTTTACAATGATAAAAAAAACTGCTCTAGTGAAGAAGATACAAAAAAGGGTGCCTTGTACTTTTCATCCACTACGCAATGGACATTCCTCTTGACAAATTACCATGTTTTGCAACTGTCGGACAACTTTGATTTTTGGAATATTGGCCAGCTTTTTCGTTATTTCTCCCACTGTGTGTTCTCGGGATTTTTATTTTTTTTCGACCAGTTTTAACCGTTATGATGAAGACTGCGTTTTTATGACCAATTTAATTGTTTTCTGATCGAAAACATAAAAGTAATTAAACAACCGTTAATTTTTAACGGAAAAATAGAAGTCCAATTTTATTTATATGTGAAGATCATAATCAATACGGTCCCGGATTTTCTTTATTTATTTAGATGCATGTTCTTTGATGCACAGACGCGTGTCATTCATATCTTCGGTATGCACTCGAATCCTTCGTAAATCTAACATACTGGAAATGTATGTCTCGTCTATAACAGAATTATCAATTAGCCTTATGTATGACCTAAGAGCTCATAGAAACGGTCTTTGATAGTATCATCTGTGTGTCGAGAGGTGCTCGGTCACCGGATTCAACGTCACTACTTACCGACGAAATGTTCCCCACCATGGATTCTAGCCCAAACTTGCACCCTCCCATTATATGGCAGCTGAAATAGTCATCGCAAAGTCCAATCGACTTGATACCTTGTCCAATCCCTTTTTGCCTTTTGCTTATACGAGAACTTCAACGATTCGGGTAGCGGCGCCTAGCACCATCAATCCTAGAATATGCTCCCAAAGCAGTCCTTAAAACTTTTTCTGGGAGTGGAGAATCATCCGAGGCTTGTACCTACATATATTGGAAGGTGTTTTTATGAGGCATATCCAAAACCCCTGACACATTTAGAAAGTGGAGGGCTTGATTCAAGGCAGACATCCATTCACAGACGCTAACAAACTTCAGTGAACCTTCAACCCCCATCGTCGTAGTGGCTTTCTCTTTGTCTGCTGTGACCTAAGGCTCCACATGCGCTAGTTATCATAGTTGAAGTTAATTTTTCAATAACTTTGCTAAAACTTTGATTCTACCAGAACTATCTTTGTACTAAAACAATACTTATACGCTAAGGCTGTGCTTGATACCAAGCCATTGCAAAGTCAAAGGTTAAGAGCAGGAGAAGATCTTCAATTGCCTTTGGGAGTTATATTTACTTTTGTTTAGCGCAAAAACTCAGAACGCTGTAAATACTGGGAAACGGCAGCAGGCCTTAACTTGGCCAGTCGCTTTGGCTATCCATCCGACAGAAAGAATATCAGTATCCTTTCTAGATATCAGATTTAACTCCGGATATCTAGCCGGCAATAACCGACCACCTTTTCATGAACGCCGATTTGTTCTGCCCACAGAGTCAGAATGCCGGCGCTACGTTGAAAACGGTGAGCTACCGAGCACATTTTTGTGCATTCGGTGCTCTATGTAGTTCAAATAATTTCGAAGCGAAACCCGGATGTGTTTTTGGCAGGTCATGGGGATACTCGTAAAAAGCTTAATATCAAAGTGATATCGTCACTAGACACGAATAAAGGCGCGAGCTCCAAAGTTGACCGCGAAAAAAGGCACATAAAAAAAACTTCAGCGAAGAAAAGACTCTTAACATAGTTGACGGCGAAGAAAGACGCGTTAAAGCAGCGAAGAAGGACGCGTAAACTTATATTCGCGGTCAACTATGTTTGCGGGGGTAACAGGATGTAAATTCCCCAAAGAGATTTGGGGAATGATGCTGAAGTGGCAGTCCTTGGCTAAGTATAATTCTATGAATACGCATCTTTCTTCGCCGTCGACTATGTTACGCGTCTTTCTTCGCCGAAGTTTTTCTTAAGCGCCTTTTTTCGTAAAATTTTTTTTACTCGTCCTTTTTCGCCGTCGATGTCTAGTGACGATGTTGTTTGCCACTTATGTTAGTTATTTAATTTTAAGAATTTTCAATTGAAATACAGTTTATTCTCTAACAAAACCCATATAAACCCAAGTTTAAAACTTTGTAAGGAACTATAAAAAAATGCAACAAATTTTCACCCAAATTTCAAACTTTTTTCCCATAAGTTCGAATTTTTTTGGGTACTCAGTTTTATAGCCCATTTAATTTAAGTCTAATAATTTTCAAGTTTTAAGTGGCTAAAGATTGATTTTTTTTAGGGTTTTTTTGTCGCATTTGCTTCCATATAACGAATAACCACAACTAATTTTTATATGGAAGAAACCCGCCACACCTTCGGCGAAAAAAATTCTTCAAAACCAACGGTAATCTTTAGCCACTTAAAACTTGCAAATTATTAGACTTAAATTAAATGGGATATAAAACTGTGTACCTAAAAAAATTCTAACACTTATGGGAAAAAAGTTTGAATTTTTTGGTGGAAATTTGTTGCATTTTTTTGTAGTTTTCTGCACAAAGTTTTAAACTTGGATTTATATGGGTTTTGTCTTCGGTTAGACGAGGTTAACGACATCAACACTTAGGGCCGGTTGTTCAATGTATGATTAGCACTAATCGGAGGTAGAAGCTCTGGTTATATACAACGACTGCTTTATCGATCACATGTTATATGCATGATGTCGAAAACGTCGATAATGATGTTTAACCGGCAAGTAGTGATAACCAGACATTGAACAACCGGCCTTAGTGGATTCACTGATTTGGGACTATTAAGTTTGATTCTTTGTTAGTTTTGGAAGCTGCGCAAACCGAAGAGCAAGGAAGTTTAACAGAATAGGTGGTAGATCAGCTGCCTTTAAACATTTTTGATATGTTAATATGCATTTTTACTATATATGTTTGTGTATATTTTTATTTATGTAACTAAAAATTTCGTATTTTATTAATCACTTCTTATTTTCCTTCCCGTCTCCCCCCTCAGGTGGCTTCCCCAATCAAGAGCTCGTTAGTGCGCGCACACTTGGACGCTTCAACGAACCATTCAAAGGCTGTTTGCAGGATATACAATTTGGAGCCGAATCAAATGCAGTCATCACCGATTTTTCATCATATAAAGGAGAGAATATTGGTTCTTGTGATCTGCATGGAGATGAACCGATGGTTTTATAGGAGCGGTAAGAGTATGAAGAGCAACAGCGATAATTGAACAAAACGAAGAGCGCTAAGGGCGGTTATAGTAAAGCAAAATGGCGGAAAACAACAGAAAAAAAAAACAAGATTCAAAGCTAGTGACGAGGCCATTTATATATGTTCGGGATTTTTTTAACAGAGCAAAGATATTAAAAAAAACTGAGCAATCTGATAAAGTTGAACTAAATAGAACAAAAAAGACGAAAGATTATAAACAATAAAAAATAATAATAAAAATAAAAGTGAGTTAAAAAAAAATTATATAAAATATAAAGCTAAAATTTTAAAATAAGAATATTAAAAGAATAATTTTGTAAATTTTATAAAAACAAAAGCAAACCAAGAAACCTAATAAGGAACGCGAAGTAATTGAAAAGAAATTTTAAACTTTTTAGATTGTAATGAAAGCAAAAATAATAAAAATAGAAACAGACATTTTTGGAAATTTAATTTAGTAGACGAGGCAGCATAATACAATACATATAAACATACATAAAATATAGGAGTAAAAAGGACAAAACAAAAATACAAAGAATTAGTGAAACAGTGAAAGAATTTTACAAAACGAGTTGCTATGGACTTTCCTCTCTCATATACATAATATTAAGTGATATACAAACATATTTACATGCATACATGCATACATACATACAAACGCGTGGTTAAATCAACAGTGAGTTCGCTGTTGCGCCAGCCAGTGAAAGAACGAAGGACACTAAGGACTAGTAGAATTATTTTGAAAGAAAAAATTAAGAGAAAATTTAATAAAAATAATTATTATATTTATATAAACAATAAAATTATCACTTATTGGTTAATTAGTTAGCGCATTTTTTCGCCAAACGAATTGTTTAAAAACTATTAAATTTTTTTGTTGTTAAATTTGTGTCTATTATTACTAAATACTTAAACTCGTTAGTTATGTTTGAAATTTTTGTTGATCTTTTTTCTAATTTTATATTAACTATTACTACGATCGATTTCGAAACGCTCACCACTAGTAAACCAAATAACTGCCCTCCTTTTCTGCCATTGAATTTATAAGTGTTATTACTGCTAAATTCTTCTCTACTCTGCATTTCTTTTTAACTTTCTTAGGCTATCTATCGAGCTATCTATGTACATACACTGTGCAACAGTCATTTTATTGCGTCAACGAAATAATATCCAAACGTTAGTATCTGTGCGTGGTTGTGAAATCTTAAAAGGATTTTGCGCCAAGTGATAATATTTTTTTTTTACTGTAGGTTGAACTCTACTTTTTGGTCACAAATTCAATAATGGCGCAAAGGATTTTACCTATAAATTGACTACAAACATAATTTTTGTCTTAAGAGATCTAAAGCAAAATTTGAAGTCCAATTTTTTCGTAGATTTTAAACCTAGGCTGGCAAAATCATTCCACTGAACCGTAGTACGCTACAGAACTTCTTCGTAATTTTATTGGCACGATTTTAATGTAAGACGGTGTAGGTTAAAAAAGTTTGCAAAAATCAAACCCTTTTCTTCAGAGATTCCGTATAAAATTAATTTTTTTCGTGGAGATATTAACCCTTTAGCTCCGTGCGTTATGGGTCTTCTTGGCCTCTATTTAAACAAAACAAAAAAAAAACTTTTTTAAAAGTGGCGATAAGATGGTTAACATTTTTTAACGTGTTAATTGGAGTGTTTTTTTAAAGATCGGCCAAGATAATAAAATTCTATATCCATTTAAAATGAAACTATCCAAAATTTTCGATTACTTATCTACTTACCTTAAATCATCGAATTTGCTTTCCTTCGCGGACCCTAAGTAAAATGTATCACTTAACATGTATGTAAAATATTTTAACCCTCTAACAGCCATTTTTAGTAAAATTTTTCGAGTAAAAATCAGAAAGACCCATAATGGCACGAGTTAAATGGTTAAACAAATTTACAATAAGGCCTGGCAATATTTTACTATAGTATCGGAGGGCAAGAGCTCGATTCGCTTATTATTTCTTAATTTACGCATTTTGGGCGACAGCTAGTAAAATTTTCTGCTTAGCCTTTTTTGTAGAACAATTTAGCTCTCTATTAGCCATTATTAATGTGAGTTCATGGAACTTTTGGAAAAAAGGATTGCGGTTGAAGCTAAGGGGTTAAAATTTTCGACGAAAAACTTCGCAGCAATTTTTACTATAAGTCTCCGAAGACATTAAATCTGTTTGAAGCCAATTTCTACTTAAAATTTCATGTAAGATATGTAATTGGATTTGTGATCAAAAAATAAAAACCTTTAACCCACTGTGAAAAAAATTTTGATGAGGCGGAGGTCTACCATCGTTTGGGCATTATTTGGTAGGTACAAGGCCAAAAATAAAAAATTCTAAAACTGTTCCACAGTGCTATCCATCTATCTACTTACATATAGTATAAATTCTTACAAATCTGTTTTCGTTTTGCTGCCGCTCTCTTTTTAGGCTGTACATTTTTAGCTAAAACTAAAATTACTTGCACGCTACTCTTGCATCCGGAATATTTAATACATATATACATATAAAGCCATTTTGTTGCCTTGTAATAGTTTTTATTAAATTTAATCAAGTAAAAGTTTAAAACCAAAAAAAAAGTAAATTTTAAATATTTAGCATAGATTTGCAAGCGCGCGATGCGCACTTAAGCTGCTAAATTCCAATTTAATTAGCCTGTTCAAAAGATTTACTTATTAACTATTATACATACATACATACAAACATATGCAACCGTAAAGATGGGTACCCAAACGAAAAAAAAAACACAGAAATCAAGAAAAAAATTTAAAACAATAAATTTTAAAAAAAAAACTCCGGCAAAATTATTAAAAACCATGCAAATAAGTAGCAAAGTTGAATAAATTGCATAATTCAAAAAAAAAATTCTTTTTGAAAGCGAAAATTGTGTTTTTGATTGATTGTGTTTTGAGTGAAGATTGATAACAGTACATAAATTCATACATATGTACATACAAACATGTGTATGTAAGTTTACATACTTATACTATACATACAAGACATATTATAAATTATACAAATTTAAAATGGAAAATGAACTCGAATTGAATTATTAGTAATATGTAAATTAAAAAAAAAATAATATCTAATAATAATTATATGAAAACGATAAACAGTATGAGTTGCAGTTGTAAACATATGTTTGATTACGAAAAAGAAACAGCATGTTAATTCTGTTGAGGAAACAAAATAAGAAATTAACTGATCAACGACTATTCAATTAAAAAAACAAACAAAAAAACTGTGTAATCACAAGAGTTTATTTCGAAAGGAAATTTCATAGAACTATTATTTAAAAAAAACGTTAAAATAAAAAATTTCCAAAAATCATTAAATGCTTTTTTTCTTTAGCATCGAATTTCGATTTAGTTGCTGGAAAACTGGTAAGTATGTATAGTGCTACCTGGTTAATGAGCTTAGCTTGAATTGTTCCTAAGCACTTGCTCGCGCTGCTCCAATAGTCGCAATGGCCGAGTGAGCAAGGCACTGCCGTGCTATTCGAGAGATCCGGTCAAGTCGACGGAGAGCGGACTTTTGCTTTTGTATACATAACTAATTATTTTTTTCGTTTTTTAATATCATTTTCTTTTAGTTTATAGATTTTATTATTTTGAAAAGAAAAACATATTTTCTTTATTTCATTTAATTTTTAGAAAAAATGTTTACTTCTTTTTTTGATTTATTTTATTTTTTCTATTTTTATTCATTTTTCTTTTAGATTTTAGTGTTTTAAAAAGAAAGATATTTCATTTAAAATTTAGCAACTAAATTTTTATTCTCATTTTAAACTATTTTTGTAACCTTAGAAACACATTATTTTCTAATTTTTATTTTTAGAATGACGTATTTTTATTTGATTAAAATTTTTTTTTTGTTTTAAAAAAAGAAAAATATTTTTTCTTTATTTCATTTTATTTTAAGAAACATTTTTTTTTATTTTTGATTCGTTTTCATTTAAATTTTAGATTGTAGTGTTTTATTCAGAAAAAAAAATTTATTTTAAGGAGAAACATATTTATTCATTTTATTTCATTTTATTTTGAGAACCATTTTTTACGTCTGTATTTCATTCAATTTTTTTTTTTAATTTGAATTTAAATTTTAGGTTTAAAATTTAGCAAATTTAATTTTTTTTTGTTTTAAACTAATTTTTTCTTTAATTCTTAGACATTTTATTTTCTTATTTTCATTTCTAAAAAACACATTTTTTAATTTGATTTTTAGATTGTATTGTTTAACAATTTTTATTGAGGCCATATATGTAATACTTCTATATTGCTAGTACAATATGATCGCAATGAGTTTTCCATTCGAAATCAAAGAAAGACAGCCTATGAAAATGTTTGTGATTGTAGAAGTATATGTACGTGTATATTTGTAAACTACTACATAGAATGAAGTGCCATATCATAACAGGGCCGGTTCAGGGAATTCAACAAACAAACACAAATTTGACGGCCTCATGTTTCCTTCACGCTGAAATGTATATCGAGCCCTAGCCGCGAAAATGGAGTAAGACAACTATTTTCAAAATTTAATTTTGATGCGTAAATGCCTCTAGGAGCACCTGCATCAAAAAGTACATTTTAAAAAAATTTCGTCGTTTAAAGTACAAAACCTCGTATCGTCATTCTGCAAAACCGCGTAACTGACATTGGCTGCCAAAAATTGGATTTGCTCACACAAGTTCTTGGCTCAATCGTTATCCATTCGTCCTTAAATATACTAGCCAGAAATGCGATTGCTTGATAAAAAAGAGAACCAATTTGAAATATGAGTATTTTTACGCTCTAGAAAATAATTTCTACAACTTCACATACGCGGTTTTGCATTTTGTTGATACGCGGTTTTGCACTTTATACGACGATATATATATACATTATTTTAGCGGTTAGGGCTCGGTATGACGAATTTCTCCGATGCTCCTCGTTATTTGGAAATCTGAAAAATTGGAAGAAAGAAGATCTTTTCCTAACAAAGGCAAAACTTATTTACACATAAAACGGTGTGGTACTCGTATTTTATATGTTGGCCGAATCCAATAAATCACGCTATTCCATTCCCTTCTATGCTGATTGACGCTAATTGGAAATGCCAACTGATGCCAAGTCCTTCTCTAACTGGTATTGTTATCCGCTGCCAGCACCAACGGCCGCAGCGCTTCTCATAGATTTACAAAAATTTTATTTTTTGTTAATTTTTCATAAGTCGCTTTTAAATAAAAATTTGTGAAACCTCACCTGAATTTTGAAAAGTAAAATTGTCATTCTGAGTACATTCTCTTATCGGATCTGTCTTTCTTTTTTCAATATTTCGGCACTCTGATGTTGGGCAATGTACTTTGAATCATCGTACAGTTCCACGATTGAGAGAATACAAAGGTTGCGCCGATCTCGGACCGCTATTCCTCTCTTAACGAATTTGACAGAATCGTTGTTTGCATGACGTCACACTTGTGCAACTTGTTTACGTTTTCCTTGCAACATTTTTTCTTCTTCTTCCATTCTTGCTCACGTTTTGGCATTCCGCTCTCGCAATTGCACCAGTGTGACGTCACACAAAAGTTATTCTCAAAAATCCTCTCTGATCGGCGCAATCTTGTATTCTATCATTCTTGGTACAGTTCCATAAGTAACGTAACTCTTCTTCTTACCGTTTTTATGGCAGGCTGTAGGTGTGATTTTGGCAGGCTCTAGGTGTGTTTTTGCTAGTGTATTGGTGTTTTTGCTTGAGAGTATTGGTGTGGTTGCTAGCCAAAATGACGTTAGAATGGGTTTTGTGAAGCACCTTCAGGGTTTTGTGAAGCTGTTGCATCATTTTTTGAAGTTTTAATTTTCGAACCGGGTTGTCGTGTTATACTTTTTTCAAGTTTAAATTCTTTAGATTTTTTGTTTTGACATTGTAACTTAAATGCGAATTGTTGCACAAAAATAATTTAAAATATGGTAAAAAAATTCAGTTTTATGAAAAATATTAGTTTTAAATTTTTTGAGCTCCGAAATAAATTTTTATAAGCAAAAGAAACATCTTATGCTTTGTAATTTTTAATTTCGTACTATTGTGATAAGGTAAGGCAACCCTCTTGGCATTTATTTCAGATATTCAAATTGAAAAAATAAGACGCAGACATTCTTTTATTCTTTCAATACATAAATTGAATATTTTTAATAAAATATTCATATTCTTCCTGAACTACAGATTTCGCTCAAGTGGTACCGTGTAGTAACAATTCAATAGGTAAGTTATTTTAATGTATGCCATTTACATATGTATATACATATGTACATATTTATTTGAACATAGTCGTTATAACTTTTTGTTTGCATCTTTTCAGAAGCAAAATGGTGAACAAAAGTTGCATCGTGGGATGTCCATTGGGATGTCCTTTATATGTATTCCCTCCGTTGGGAGAAATGACCAGGTGAGTGATATCAGTTTTATATGTACATACATATATACATATGTATATTAAAATAATTATAATTATATTAAAGTAAATATTGCACGTAAAATAATAAAGAGGATTGATTTCAAACTTATGTTTTTGGAGATTTTAATATACAATTAAGCTTGATAAGGAGAATATGTTCAAGCTAATAGATAACTGATATACCCAAAAATTGCGAATGTACCTATGTACTTTTCTACTTTTTTTTTGGTCATGCATATATTTAATTCTATTTATTGTTGAACGTGCAATATGTAGAAAGTATTATTTGCAAATAATGCAAAGTGGTAAATTTTGCCGCATAATATCGAATCGAGAGCGTAATAACATGGGAGAGCTGCAAATTGTTGGTAGTGAAAGTTTTGCTAGCAGAAATTAGCTAGCAGAAGAACAATAATAAATATCGAAAGCTACCATTTGTTGAATTGGTTAAGCGTAAACAAAAGTAAAAAGAGTGGAAAATAAAATTAATTAACTAATTGATGATAAACAGGATTGTGTAAATGCTTGTGCGCAAAGCAAAGAATTTAAAACTGATTTATTAATTGTAAAATGTTTACAGCGGGAATATCAAAGCAATGCAACTGTTTATTCGTAAGTTTTTACTAGTTTTGCGTTCAATAAATTTTTCTGCCAGTTTTCTCTTTTTCTAAATTTTACGCTCTATTTAGCTTTTACGCTCTCGCTGGAATTTTTTACTGGAAATGTTACTATACACACCTATTATTTCGCGCAAGCAAAAAATAAAGAAGATATCAATGGTTAAAATTAATTTTTTGATTATTTTAAATATTAATGTCTTCTGAACTACATAACTTATTAAAAAACTAATGATGGCAAAGTAAAGGTAATTAATGGGTCTTTTACTTGAGAACATAATTTTTTCGTTTTTTTTATATATATTTTTAAGCCAGAAATACTTAAAAAAAAAACAAGTATACTCTTTTAAATGGCGTTTATTTAAAATTGGTTTTAAAAAGGGTTATAATACATAAATCGAGTAAAAGGTATTTAAATTATCTTTAAATAAACATCAATACTTTTTTGATCGGTGAAGTAGTTTCCGAGATATTATAAATGTAAAAAATATGAAAGAAATATATGTATGTACATAAAACAATATTTTTTTGTAATGTTCGATTTTTTACAGAAACCAATTTTCCAATTAACGGACCAGAACGGGTATCGTTATAACCAATTTTTTTACTTTATTGTTTTTTAACACATCATTTTCGATTTCGCTTTACTAATGTAAATACATTTAACCATCTCCCTTTGCCCGTGATTTCCTATCGATTTCCACTTAACATAAAATTTCAATTTCGCTTTACTAATTTATTTTTGAGTATGTTTTGGTTTTCAATTTTAACTTTCATTAAACTAACAACTTTAATTGGACTAGCAAGTGTTTGCTAAATTTGGTTTTGGAAAATCTTTGCTTATATTTAATATGATGTATTAATAGGTTTCTATGATAAATGCTAGAAGTTCCAAATTTTCCGCCAGTATGCCAGCAAAAACTTCCAACTTCTAGGAGTTAGTACACACACCCCATCTTTCCTATACTAAAACTGCTTGGTTGTATTTTATTTGTATTTTATTCTATTTATATATGTACTATATTACCATTGTATATGCATTAATTAGTATGCTAGTTTTGCATATGGTATTTAGCTTTAATGCTAATTACTTTTTTTCAATAGGCGGCGTAAATGGCTCCAGTTGTTGGGTGTGGTGGGCCCAACAGCGAAACATATTTTCGCCTGCCAGAGGCATTTTTCCCATCAGATGAGAAGTAGCCGAGGCCTTCACAAATGGGCAGTTCCCGATATTAATTTAAGATTATATTCGCCCGCAGTGACAGCTAGTAGGGAAAATGAGATTACTGATAGGAATGTATCAGGCAGTTTAGTTGAAGACGTACAAGGAGTCATAGAAGTAGGAGTTGAAGATTTTCAGCCAAGTTTCGATTCTATTATAGAGATTGATTGCGAAATTTTGGATTCGAGCGCTGACCCTGTAATAGAACTTGGCGTTGAGGATTTTCTGCCGATACCTTTTTCGCCCGAAGCAGCAGATAGCGCCTCGACTTCAAATTGCGAATTGGTAGAGGCATCCTTTGAAAAATCCCTTCAATCCCACCAGGATGAAGAAGACACACCTTCTTCCTCTTTAGGTAGGTCCAATTTAGTTCAAACCTGGGCAAACAGTCGGCAATCTCAAACAGATTTTTATTTGAGTGATGGGACTCCTAGAAAGAGAAAGTATCGGGAGGAACTAGATAGTGCAAAAGATGAGATAAAATATTTACGCAATAAGGTGAGAGTTTTAGAAAATAGGGTAGAATATTTGTTAAAGGAGCCAAGTTTGCCTGTCAATTCACAGGATAGACTAATTTCAGAGCTAATTTGCAACTTGCCTGCACATTTAGCGATCTGTGTGAAGAATTGCCTTAAAAATGCCCCCCGAACTCCACACGGGTATAGATTTGACAGAGAACTGAAAACATTGGCTCTAGCAGTTAAATTTTTATCACCTATGGCATTTAGATATTTAAAGCCCCTTTTTAAATGGCCCTCCAAAAAGACCCTAGAGTTGTTTGTTCAAGGCTGGCCACGTAACCCTGGCTGCAACTATAGCAGCTTAAAAGCCCTGGAGTTAAGAAGCCGAGGTTTCACGGACGCACAGAGATATGTTTCGATCTGCTGTGACGAAATGTCTCTGAAAACTAACGTTCAATACGAAAGAAGTAGAGACATGATTATAGGATTGGAGGATTATGGCGATGAAAATCGCACACCAAGTGTAGCTTCTAGTGTTTTAACAATTTTGGTCCAAGGCATTGGTGGAAACTCTTGGACTCATCCCTTAGCATATTTTTTTGTTCACAAATCGTGCAAAGGTCATATAATGGAAAAATATATTTTCCAAGCCATAGGTCAGCTCCAGAGTATTGGTCTGCGTCCGTGTCAACTTGTAACTGACCAAGGCTCCAACTTCATGAGTTTTTCTAGGATAGTAGGAGTTACGAAAGACAGACCATTTTTTGAAGTTAATAGCGAGAAAATCTTTTATTTCTTCGATTCTCCCCATCTCCTGAAGAGTACGCGGAATTGCTTAGAAAACCAGAAAAATAGAGTTAGTTTTCATGGCAGACCTGTAGACTGGATGCACATCATCCATGTATATGAAAAAGGCGCCAATTATGACATTTCTTGCACTCATAAATTGACCCCGGCACATGTAAGACCTAAGCCTTTTAATAAAATGAGCGTGCAGTTAGCTTCTCAGGTTTTCAGTAATTCTGTGGCAAGTGCAATGTTTGCTATCTACAGCTCCGGGTTTTTAGATAATTCTGAGTCTCCATCTTTTTTCAATACAGCCGAGTTTGTTCTTTTTTTTGATAAGTTGTTCAATATTTTCAATAGTCTCGTGTTTGGAGCAACCGGTAATTTCAAACAACCATTTTCAGCAAGTGCGGACCAATTAAGTTTTCTTGAGGAGGCCGAACAGTTTCTTAATTCAATGAAAGTGCAAGATAGTTTGGATCGTGATATCACCAATACCTTTTGTTTCATTAAAGGTTGGCTCCTTAACATTAATAGTTTACGACATTTGTGGAGCTTTTGGTCACACCAAGGTTTCACCCATTTAATGACTAGGAAGTTATGCCAGGATAAGATAGAAAACTTTTTCGGGCATATACGAAGAGGTGGGGGATTTGATGTGAGAATAACTCCACAGCGTTTCTCATATCTATTTAGACAAGCGTGGGGCATAGGCTACATTCGATGTGTTGACAAGGGAAATTGCGAACTCTTGCCCGCGGATCAGTGGGAATCAGTTTCTAGTAGTACCCTCCAAAATGCATGTAATGACGCTCTGGTTAGAGATACGTCTTGGCAAATTTTTCAAGATTTGCCTAGGCCTTCCCTACACTCCGTTCAAAATCTTCAAATTGATGTATCGGTTGAAGTAAATGAAAGTAGTTTCCTTCATCGCAGTGCTTTTGTCTATTTTTGTGGCTATTTATATTTTAAATATTTTAAAATGCATAGTTGTTTAATGCCTCTCCCAAGGTTCGATGGTTTTATTACTGAAAAGGATTTCTACTTTACTAGAGAAAAACAGTTCAGTAATAGCAATCTTGTTAAGCCTCCAAAGGAATTCATAAATTTCATTTCAAGCCTTGAAAAAATATTCACCGATCACTTTGTACAAATGTATTTGCAATTCCCTTTCTTTTTGTGCTTAACTGCATACATATGTATGTATGTACACATTTGTGCAGTTGCAGTTGGAGCGTTCATTTAGTGAAACATTAGGGGTATTCTCGAAGTATTGCACGATGCACGTATTGCACGAAATGCAAAAATACTATCCCAAATTTCGAAGAGTACGAGAGCACCCCATTGCAAAGTGGTAGAATGCATGGGTAGCAAGCAGCGAAATTATGTATCAAATACAATAACAAGAGACAGCAGAAAAAAATGAAGTGAGCGAGATGAGAGGAATGAGAGAAATATGTAGCAATTCCAACAACAAAACAACTAGCACAGGGTCGCATATATCTTGCTATGCTATTTTGCAAAATATATACATGGGTTTCGACGTTGCATATTTTGCAGCGATAGGAAATGTCGTTTCCCATGTATTTTGTTGTTGTGTGTTTGCAAGTTATGCAATCCATGCAATCCGTGCTACGTGCAATGGCTTTGCAAGATTTGGAGAATACCCCTATTCTTTTGCAATTTTTTCATATACGCCTCACTTTATTCTGTTTGCACACATATCTACACATGTAGGTACCCAGCCAATATGCTGGTTGGTTGGAAAGATGCAACTAGAACTGATGCTAATAATGCAGCGAATGCAAATATTATTCCTGACCAAAATGACTGTTTTCAAAAACGCATCAATTCTTTAGTGCACAAATAAACGAAATTTGTGCGCATTGGAAAGCCGCCAAAAGGTGAGAGTCTACTGCACTTTGCACATATTTTGCAGCACACTTTTTGTTCTTTACATACATATGTACCTATTTGCAGCTGGAGCATTCTGCTGCACTTTCTAACATACATATGTATGTATATATTAGCACTGCACTTCTTTTACCTACATATGTACACATTTAGGTAGTTACAGCTGGACCATTCTACTGCACTTTTTAAATATTCGCACACTTTTAAATTTTATTGTTTATATATGTGTGTACACATTAAGGTAGTTGCAGCTACACTTTGTACAAATGCCCTGGTACAAAACTCACCGAACAATGTATTGTCTTCATTCCCCTCGCCAACAAACCATGCTTGCACAATTATTCGTGCGTGTTTTAGGCCAATGGCATTTTCGCACTAAGTTTTTCAGCTACATTCAGCTATGCTTCGGCCACATCTTCAACAGGCAATGCAATGGTAACGGTTACCCAGAGCCATTATAGAATTCCTAAATGAACGTTCTATAAATATCTGAAGTCATAAATAAATGATTTAAAGAATATAGCAAGCTTACCTTCACAATTTTATACGTATACTAGCCAATGCCCACTTGCTTCACGGCGCCTAATAAGAACTTTTGCGTCGGTTAATGCTAAACAAAAACAAAAGAAAAAACAGTCTGTAAAGTCAAAATTTTTAGTAAGTTGAAACCACTAAAGCACGGTATCCTCCTCACACATAGACCGAGAATAGTAACGCTGTGATACTGTATGAAAAACTAATCCATTTCGGTGACATGAGCTTTGCCGCGGATGGTCTTATTTCCACCTGTGAAATCTCTGCCAAGCGTGCATAATCTTCTTTGATCTTGCAACTACAACATTTTTCCGATGCGTAAGCCAGTAAAAGTCCTCATAAGGAAACTCAAGAGCACAGATGTGCGTTTTCTGTTATAGGAGGGCCAAGAATCCTCGCTGTCCTGCTGGATGAAAAGTTTTCGCGAACATTGGCTAAATGAGTCGTGTGATCCCTTGAACATCGTTCAAATTGAGCAATCGATATACCTACCGTTTTCCTTCCTTGTTAATTCGCCACTTATACAATTCGTGTTAATATTTATTGGTGCCTATTTGTTGTTAAAAAATTTTGTAAACTAGACCGCGGCCATATTTATATGCAGTGATGTATTTTATGGTACTTATAAAATGCATCATTACAATCACAAAGTTGCATTTTATGGTAACATTAAAATCAATGCAAAATCGACAAAAGTACTTCAAAATAATATCTATGACTAACAAAATTTACACTAATTCATATTTTCTTAGTTATAGTAATGCTTTTTTAATTATAAATTCCTAAATTTGCACGAAATTTTTTAAACTTTTCAATAAGATATATTATGATTTTTTAACCTTTTTAATGCAACAATGTTGCAAAAACGTGCGTTTTAAAATCAGGTGATCTCAGCTGTAGGCATTTTTTGGCAATCAGCTGATAGTGTTTTTACTTATGAAACTGTACAATGCTTTGAATGTACTAGCAATATAGAAGTATTACATATATGATTGAGGCCGTTTTTAATGAAAAACTTCTTATGGAAAAGCAACAATAATTTGAAAAAATGGTAGAAGTGATAGCTATTTCGGAAATCACCACATTTCCTCATCAGACTTCTTTCAGTAGGATTCGAACCGACGATCCCACTGACTCAGCTAGTTGCCTACGCACTGTGCTAAGTTCCTTGTTATTCGTGTTGCTTTGTTCTACTTTTTTGTATTGTTTAAAATAAAATCTTTTTTAATTTTTAGAAACATGTTTTTCTTCTTTTAATTATTAAATTTTTTCTTTCCTTTAAATTTTCGATTGTACCATTTTTTATATATATTTTTGTTTGTAATTTAATTTAATTTATTTTATTTAATTTTCTTATTGTTATTAGATATATTATTAAAAATTAATTTTTAGGATCTTATTTTATTTTGTTTTATTTATTGTTCTAACTTTTTTTTTAATTATAGATTTCACTGTTTAAAAAAAATTAATTTCATTGAATTTTTAGGAACTTCTTTTATTTTCGTCTTATTTTGAACTAATTTTTTATTGTATTTACTTTTCATATAATTATTTGATATTAAAAATTAATTTTTAAGAACTTATTTTTTTTCTTGTTTTTAATTTATTTTTTTGCAACTTCATTTAATTTTTAGGAACCCCTTTTATTTATTTATTTTTCTTGTTTTGAACTATTGTTTTTTACTTAATTTTCTTATTAGTTGATTACATTATTAAAAATTAATTTTTAGGAGCTCATTTTTTGTTCTTATTTTAAATTTTTTTTATTGCAGATTTATTGCATTATTTTATTGGTTATTTTCTTTGTCCAAGTCGATGCCACCTGATTTAGACCATAAAAAGTTTGTTATCATATCACGATAACTTCCACCATTCACCATAACTGTGTCGGTGACACAGTTTCGTCGAATTTCTGCAATAAACGACTGATTTCTGCAGCAGTTGACCGACAAACTGACTCGAAAAAGTCCTGAACTATTCTCGAATGAGTCCCGAAATCATGCCGAAAAAATTCCAAACTAGACTCGAAAAAGTAGCAAACTAGATAAAAAGAGGTCCACAACTAGTACCGACTAGTTCTATACTATATTACCGAGTATTGTTGCTAGAACTGCTGCACATTAGATTTATTTTCATTTTTACTATTTCTGAATTAGGCTTAGTTTACGCAAATTTTGTCTACATCGAAGCAAGGGGTCCCAAGCGAAAAGTTTCAGTATTTTTTTTTTTTAATTTCCGCCTTGCTTTCCATCAATGCACTACCGTAGTGCATACACCTAAAACTATGCAACGAAAAGACCCATGCACAGGGTGAAAAATTTGCAGGGTGCACACGATGATTTTTTCATTCCGTTATTCAAAAGATATTTTTGATGATGCATTTTCGAACGTTTTTTTGTAGTTTGCTTTAAATTTTAAGAAAAGCAAAGATAAAAATTAAAAATTAACATAAACATCACAAATAAGTGCTGTGAAAGATCTGCATCACCCTTGAATAAACCCTATACAAATAATTCAGTTAAATAGGTGCAATAAATATAGTGACGCTTCTGGACAAACAGTTACAGTTGCTCAACTATGCTCATGTCCTTCTCTTGCGTCCCCGATCCCTGGACAACGTGAGCTACCCATGTGCGAGATGCATTAACCAACCCGGGTTGGAACTAGTTGATGAAAGAAAGAGACGAAGCTTCACTGGGGCCGCTGTCTAACGTGCGGCTCGTTTTGTTATAAACGTATTCTCAACAAAAGTAACCCAAGTTGTGGTTACGCGCCAGGTTTGGGACCAGCTCGGTAAAACACAGTATCATTAAGGTCAATATTGCCTTGGGCAATACTAACTTCTTTTGATTAATCCCATTTTCACGGCGACCGTGGCGAATGTTTATAAACTATGGTTTAAGGATAAGCACTTGGTATGTTCGTTTCCTTCAAGGATTAGATGCTTCTGTCTGGTTGATGTACTCGGGAAGGATAATGCGGATATCACCGTCATCGAAGAAATTCGATGGGCGCGGCAAAATGGATAAAGCATTTGTCCCCTTGACGTAACGGAGAGCAACTTCGGTTTTGGATTCCTCATAGAATAGAGGCTTCGCCGCCGAGCACTGTCGTTGACTCCAGGGGATAAGCGTTTGCAGCAATCCGCATCAGAGCGATGCTCTTTAACATCTTGTTCATTTGCACCCACATCCCGTGGGAAGGCAAGAACGAGGCGTCCTGTGAGCGCTACCTGCGTCACGATATCACGATCTTGTGCGACGATTGCAGTGCCAGGGTGAGTAAGAAAGGGATCTTTGGTTCCACCATCTGAAAATTCAGCCTCCACGATGAAACGTCTAATAATGGACTGAAACTGATCGCCTTTAGCCTTCTACGTGACTGTCTCCTGGTCGAAAAACGGGAAGCCAAACCGATCATGTTGCGATAGACGGATTACACGTTTTTAGTATTCTATGTAAACGTACGTACGATTCAAGGACCAGCTCTTGAAATGCTGAGCGATGGATAGTGCAGCTACATATTTGCAGGAACTACAACGACTCCGCTTGTTTATGGTCTATTCTTACACTAAGTCACGAACATACATATGTATGTACGTACTTTCTCCTATGGCCATTTAAGCCCAATATTTGAGATTCCATCGAGGTCCTTTTGTGCAAATTTTGTGCAACTGGGTACAATCATTTTTCGTCGGAAATACCCATGTCTTTTAGAATACCGCTAGTCTCTTGGAATACATCGTAATAAGTAGGTCGCTCTGTAGAAGCTAATATAATGGGCCGAATTGGCGCTCTTCATCGCATTTAATTCTGCCTTAAAAAACGATACAGTGATGAGGTAGACAAATACTGAGTATAAGTACAAGAGTGAACCGCCTACCTACCTACTCCTAGAGCCGTTAAATTTGAAAGTAAATTACGAAATAAGAACCACGATTTACGTATATGTCCCTGGAATGTCAGGACCCTCTAAAGGAAAGATATTTCTATCCATCCCTGCAACCCAGGAAATACCAGGATCCACATCAAGGGAGGAACGAGACTGGAAGCAGAGCAGTTCTATGAGCGCGCTTAGAAAGAGAGAGATGATATCGACATCGTCGGCCTGAGAACCCGGGGCAATAGTGCAGCATTTTCCAATTTTGCAAACTAATCGAAAGAGGTTGGTCTAGTGGTGAACGAGGACAAGACAATTTACCTCCTGGCAACATATAAAAAGACTTAAAGTATTGGGACACACGTCACTGTCGGCAGTTATAACTTTGAAGTAGTGAAGGACTTTGCCTAACTAGGATCCAGCACCTAACGCCACCAACAGTGTCAGCCTTGAGATGCAGCGAAGAATAACTATTGCCAACAGGTGCACCCTTGGCCTCGGTAGGCAATTGAAAAGCAGAGCCCTTACTAGACGAACAAAAATTATGCTCTACAAATCACTCATCATATCCGTCATTTTATATGGCGCAGAAACATGGACGATGTCAAACAAAGATGAAAAGGCTAGACTTGTTCAAGTCTTCTAATAAAAGCGGCAATACTGCTGCAGTAATGCAAGTTTGCAACACTGTTGTAACTGCTCTACTTGCACATCAACGCTAGAAATTCGCAATGAACGTGATATTTTTATGATGCGCGCAGTACTGTGGTTGCGATTGCAACTCGAACAAGCCCGCTTTGGGGGCTTTCGTGAGAACCTATATACATATATGGCCCGGTTAGGGTGGGCGACGAGTAGACAAGACAAGATGGAAAGACGGACTGTATGAGTTTTTTAACGACGCGGGATTTGTTCCAGTTACAAGCCCATGGACATATGTAGTTAAGCACATACAAATTCAACAATTCAAGAATTGCGCTCGCTCGGGTCGAACCGGTAAATGGCTGTAGTGCCAAATAAGAAGAGAAGGTTATTGGCTATCTGTGAACGTCGTTAATTACTTGCCTGAGAGTTTTTGGGGAACGACGCTGAAGTGACAGTCCTTGGCCAGATACGAATCTGGGTCGTTCTACCGCCATAAACGAATGACAAAACTGTTCATCTTTGGCTGATGAAGTTGAACGAATAACAGACGCGTTCAGATACAGGTAAATTTTTATTGAGAATATTTATTTCTTTTTTCAACTGTTTCTGCAGCTCATTTAAACTGAAGTCATTGTTGCTGGTACTTCAAAGTTCTATTATGGTTAACTTTAATTAAAGTTGCTATTCATATATGTATCCATATGTAATCGACACAGTCCGCCATCTACAATTAACACGAGATAATGTTGGCGCCATTTTAGCTACATAGTTATTAGCAACTACACCATCGCCATACCATTTTCATCTTCGCTTTTATTATACGACTTTTTGCTAAATATTTAAAAACGTTTTTGTTTATAATTATTATTATAATACATATGTTTATGAATTTTCATATACACCTTATGATTCATTTAATATTCATTCCCACCATGCAAAACATGAGAAATAGGCAACAATCGTCAATGGCAACAAATTGGCGACTCACCGATTTATTGCTGTGGTGACAAATCGGCAACATCACTTCATTCATGTCAATTTTGAATAAAAAAGTTCTCAAAAATTCCGAAACTTATGAATATGGCGTCAATAGTATTGGCCAAAAGCATCTAAATTATGCCCAAGGACAAGATTGAAAAAATAGGAAGCCTCACAGCGAGAAAATGAATTAATTCCGATTGTAAGTTGCAATTTGGTATACAATAAAATAAATGAAGTATTAAAAAGAATAAAATTATTCCAAATATCGCCTGAAGCGATAAGAAAAGGACTTATTCAGGTAATAAGAAAACGACTCGCCCAGGCGAGTTGCCTTCGGCGGACGTTTTAAAGCGACCGGTAATAGGAAATCGATTCGATGGCAATATTACCGGCAATAAATTTGTTTCCGAGGGCGACACATTTTCTTATTGCTGGCAACACAAATTGTTTGGTGGGTTTCCTCGGAATTTTTCTTTCTTTATTATGTATTCTTGTTTCATACATACAACATAATAATAGTAAATTTATTTATGTATAATTGGAAAATATTTTATTCGTAATTATATTTTCGATTAAAAAATATTTTTTTTTTTATAAATTTTATATGCATACATATACATACATATTTAAAATAATAATAATTATAGTAGTTTATTCATAAGTGTGAAATGAGAAATTTATAACTCAAATACTTTATTTATTATAAACAGCATACTTTCGTCCTCATCAACATCATCATCATCATCGTCATCATTATGATCATCATCACACAAACGTTGCGTTCTAATAGTAAATGTTCTTGTGAATATACACTAACCGAAAGTGAATTTCAATTTGGAATTGCTAATAAGAGATTTGCTTGACACATTGATAAATTGACTTAGCCAAAAAACTAACGAAAAACAAAAATGCTACCATTTTTACACCGACCTAGCGACGCAGCGACGAGACGAGCAAACAACCAACTAAGTGCTTGCAACAAGCATGTTTGTATGTACATGTTTATGGTGAACAGTTGAGCCCATAGAAACAATCACTGCAATTTCAGACGGTCACATCGCAAAAGAATATTATATGTATGTTTGTATGTTAATAGCTGTTGCTTGGAATTTCTATTGTTGTGGCGAATGCGATCAGCGCAAAATTCCAACAACCTTTGTAATAGTCATTACTCATTAAACTACACAATGCAATGCATATTTTAAATGTATTTTTGTATTTTATTGTTTACTATTTTATTTTTGAAAAAGTTTACGTTTGAACTTTCATTTAGTATAGATTATTAATTTGTTTACTGAATTTGCGGATTTTACTTTTTTGTGTTCTTTTTCGAGGAGTGAACAAACGCAAACGTAAAATGTTGATGTGGATGCGGGAGCAAAGTGAAATCTGGGTGTGTTAACAGATTATATATTTAGGCAGCTGTATTAGAAAGTAGTAGTACATTGCTGCTCGAGTATTGCTGCTGATTTTGGTGACGAGGGAGCTGAAAAGGGAGCGTTTGTTTGTTTTCTGTTTTATGTTTTTACTTTCTTTCTGTTATCGATTTTTAATGTGACTTTATTTTAATCTATTTTCATAGCATTACCATCCTTATCATAATTTTTCATAATTTAAATTTTATATTTTATATTATTATTGGTTGCTTTCCCACTCAACATCATCATCATCATTATCATCCGTATTTTTGTTTCTGCTTTCTATTTCTGGTTTTTAAATTGTAATTTAAATATTTATTTTTTTATTTATAATTATCAGCATAATTTTTTCAAATCTCTCGTTGGAAATTTCATTTTCTGTAAATGAGGTAATAGAAAATTTTTTAATGTGACGCGAAATACGAAATTGGGGGAAAAATATAAAAGTTAATATGCACTCACCTACAAAAGGACATCACTTGCAGCAATTGTTTGTTTGTCGGGTATTTTCATTATCATTCAGCCTTCTACCAGCGGGAGCGCCTTGATTATTTGCTCCGTCGTTTTTAGGTAATTTCTTAGCTGTTAGCGGGTATGGAAAAAAAGAATAATTTATAGTGCAAGTTTACAAGCACTAAAATAAAATACAAATTATACCACCCACAAAAAAAAATTTAACATTGGACGATAGAAACAAAAAAAATAGCGAAGTTTCAAATTCTGACCATAGCTTCGGACCTAAAATCTATACGAATAGCGTAGTATCGCTCTCCGGACTAAAGAATATCGCGTCATTTTATTGCACCAAATAATCATTCATAAATAAATAAATAAATACAATTTTTAATAAATAACTGCCCACTAAATATAATGAGCCCCTTCAATTTTAATTTGTTCAACTTCCCAATACATATTAGGAGAACTTGGTCAAAACTCAAAAATTATTATTCACCGCTTTTAGAAAGTTCACCTCCAAATTTAAGTGAAAAAGTTGTCTTAATTCTGCGAAAAATTGGTACGTGTTTCAAGTATTCCAGTTTTCCAGTTTGTCGACTTTAAGGGAATCCTTTCACTATGTAATCCGCTTCAATCCCTATTGTTATCAACCCTCTTGAGTATAACTTACCAATTGCTAAAAAGATATCATTAACATTCATTCCCGTTTTTGCCGATGTTTCCATGAAGAGTAATCCGTTCTCTTCGGCATATTGCTTTGCTTCTTCGTATTCTACAACACGAATATTTGATAGATCCGCTTTATTGCCAGCCAGGGCAATAACGATATTCGGCGATGCCTAAAAATGAAAGTAGAAAGAGATTATTTAGTGAATTTTAAAAAAGAAATTTTTGCGAACTTTGTCTTTATATTTGGATTCCTTAGGGAGTAAAAGAAATTTATTCGACTATACGTGTACATATATTGCTGAAATTATCCCTTTGAAAAAAGAGGTGTGCACAGCAACCTTATGATCTCTATTTTGCGTTCAACTCATCACAACACCTCATTCAGTCTTACAATCTCCAGAAAGTCTAGAAGAACTCTCGGGGACAGGGAGTGTATTTGCGCTTATCCTCTGGCCACATTGAATTCCGACTTTTTTCCCGTCTTCTCGCCACTGCCATACACTCAAGAAATAGGTACAACGGTGTCCCCTTAGCCGAATCGCATAAGTGACAGAGGTTATGACCAGATGCCTAACTTGTGCAGATCTCATCCTAATCTGCAATGCCCGTGACAATCCTCAGTTTTTCATTAGGTAGGTTAATGAGGAATCTCTGTACCGCTACATAGTGCTTGCCTGTGTGTGTCCCTCCAAAATAGTCATTCCAAGCTGTTATCCTGCAGAGCTCTATTTTGAATTTCTTTACGAAAACTACCGCCTTGTTTATTTCATCTCTTGGGAAAAGGGCTAGGGGGAGCTGGGACATTAGCTTTTCCATGTTGATGGGCTGAAAATCGACTAACCTCCTAACCGAAATTAGGGAAAAGTGAGTTATTTCCGCACATTGGTAGTCAAGTCACTAAATTGATTTCTTCGTGTGGCGGCAGAGGAAGCTTGGCTAGCTACAAATTAACAACGGTTGATAAGAGTTCGCTATCTTAACTTAGTTCATTAAGGTTTCAACTGATTCCATATATCCGGCCACTATTGATGCGGCTTTTTATGACTATCCCCTTCGTGAAACGCTTCCCGAGTTAATGGCAATGTTGTTGTTGTTGTAGCGTCTACTAAGCCCCGCTCAGCTAAGGAGAGGCCCAGGAAGTGTGCGACTTCAACAGGGTCTGTCCATAAGGACAGGGGCGTCAGCTGGCTGGGGTTCTCAGGGCATGTGAAGAGGTGCCGAGATTCATGTGGCGACTCTCCACATGCCGGGCATTGATTGGGCACATCCTATTAATTCTGCTCAGGTATGAGTTTAGCCTGCTGCATAAGCCAGAGCGAGGTTGGTCAATTGTGGGGCGGGTCTCCCGAGGCAGACAAAGTTATGTCCCGTCCACGCCAGGTGGTTGTGTGCCTAGAACGGCATTCACAGGGCGGGAGTCTACATAACTCGAGACTGATTCCCTGTGAATGCCGTTCAGGGCCTGTCGGTAGGCTGACGGGTCCAGACAATAGTGACTCCCTCTGGTGGTTGAGGAGCTTTGAAATATAATAATTCAACAATAGCGGGGATAGGACACCACCCTGTGGTATCCCCTCTATAATTTTTCTCGGTTTGCTAGTTTTGTCTCTAAAGATTCCTGACGAATGTCGACCACTCAGATAATTCGCCGACCACCGTTTTAGTCCCTGTGGGAGAGAGGAGGCTCCAATGTCTTCCAGTAGCGTGGAGTGACTGACGGTGTCAAAAGCATTTGACAGTTCCAGCGCTACTAGAATCAAGACTGTTGTTTTTCCTACTACAGTCGGCTCTACATATTAATATCTGTCCAAGGACTTTCAATTCAGCAGTTTTCCCTAGAAACTCTTTAGGTAATTTTCGGCTGTTAAACACTTAATATTGTTTCCATAAGCTCGGCTCAGTTTTCTACTTAGTAGTAGGTCTATGAAATCCCCCATAACGTTGTTGCTACCTCTTTCAGAATTTCGGGGTGGTAAGTCTCTATAACATAAAATTATGTATCCGCCAGTGGTAGAAAAGGAGGAACAAGTACCCTTTATATTGGAAATATCAAGTAGAAAAGGATTTTACTTTACTTCCACATGAGAATACTTGCGAGAATATCCATATATGTACAAATATTTTTTCTTGTTAATTTTTTTGTTAACCTATTCCATCAGCATAAACATTCTATTGAGTCATATGAAGTTTCCGCTGAGTTATGGGTACATTTAAGAAGCACATTTTCTTTATTGGAAATCATTTTTAATAAAGCACATATTGGCCATTATTATCTACGACCTTTTGCCATTTTTTCGAGTAGCTTCATAATTCGAACGGTGTAGAAATGCTACGGTTTATCGGCGAAAAGCTTGGCCAAATGATTTCCTACGGTCGCAAAGTTTTTTTCCAATAAGAGTTTTGCGGAGAACGAAACAAATGGAAATCAAGTGGTCCAAAGTCCGAGCTATACGGTGGATGCATTAAAACTTCCAAACCAAGTTCCGTAAGTTTATTCCGAGCTATGCGTTTGGCCTGGCACTGCCATAATATAACCCTTTTATGTTGGCCAATTCTGATCGATCTTTTCTTTCTTTGATTGCTTCGCGACGTTGTAGCAGTTAATAACGAACAATTGCCGTCCAATTCCACCAAAGACCAATTCCAAAAAAAAACAAGCTTTGAAGTCGTTTGTGTGTCTTTGACCATGTGGATTGTGTTTCTTATTCTCGTACTGAATCCATTTTTACATCGCCTGTAGGTAACGATTTGCTTCAAAAATTGTTCGGCTTCGTAGCGTTTCACTGATGGTAATTCGGCAATCAAATTTCTTTGTCAGCCACACATCGAGGTACGCAAGTAGCCGGGTTTTTTCAGATGATTCCAAACGGTCTTATGGTTGATATTTAGTGCATCCGCTATCTCCTGATAGCTTGTATGCCTATCTTTTCATGCAGCTTTATTTCATCGACTTTTCCAGTGACTGGCCGACCAGACGAGATACATCTTTGACATCAAAATTTTCGCAACGGAATCGTGCAAACCACTCGTGGTTCCGGAGTTCCCCCACAGCCTTTTCACCAGACACTTGACACATTTTTCGGCATATTTTAGAGCGTTTTCGATTTTTTTAGCCGCAGAGACTATTCATATGACCCAAAATTTAATATTCTTAGTTTGTAATTAATTATTTTAATTTGATATTTATTTTGTTCTACAAAACAAGCCATTTACAACCCAACAAGCATTTCAGTAAACGTTTTTAAAAATAACTTAAATTAAGTTTGCTATAATAAGCGTTAAATAAGCATTTTTAATATTAAGCTTATTAAAAGTTTTTTCAAATAAACCTTTAATAAGTTTTGAGAGCGAATGTTTATAAATAACTTAAACTTATAAATGAAATGTAAATGCCAACGACATGAAGTAGTAAATATAAAAATTTTTCAATCGTAAGTGACGTGTTTACGTTTTTTAAAATATATTATTAAAAGAAAAAATTAAATAAAACCAATGCGGTAAAACAAGAAAATCCAATCCAGGACCCGCTGCGCTAATCGGTGGAGCATTCGAGTCTTCAAATGATGAGTTCCCCTTATCCTTTCTTAGTTTAACATTCAATTAAAAATGTATTAAATTTTTTTCAGAAAAGTTCATCAATGAGAATGGCGGCGATGAAGCGGAATATATAGCTGCATCGATGTCGCTTTTCCAATTTGCCAATAACCGCAAGTAATTGAAAGCACGCATCAAGATGTAATAATTAACTTTTTTATGCTTAATTTGTATGTGTTATT